ATATTAAGCACAGAGTGGCGCTTACAAAATTAAGAATTAGTAATCATAAGCTTGAAGTAGAAACGGGGAGGTATAAGAGGCCTTATCTCATTTACGATGAAAGGATTTGCCCAGTGTGTAAGTCGGGAGTAGAAAACGAAAAACACTTTCTAGTTTGGTGTCCACTATATGACTCTCATAGAAACGACTTAAGAGAGTTCMTAGAAAAAWACACCAGCATTAATTTCAACAATATGAGCGCTGACAGTCGTTTTATGTTCTTAATCAATTCAAAATCAGCGTCTCTACAAAGAGCCATATCAGCATACATTCATCAATGTATGCTGATACGTGAAAATGAAATAAGAAAATTACCTAATACATAGTATATATATATACCTATAATATATTTGGAATCAAACACTCATATGTACTATTAGTATAAGGTGCCAAATAAAATTGTATTGTATTGTATTGTATTGTATTGTAWTGTACTGTAGAAAGTACATAGTTGATAGTCCAAATAAACTCCTCAGATTTTGGTTTCTCTTGTCGGCATGCATTGATAGATGTATGCCGACACAACTTTTTGTAAGAATATTGGTGTGTTTTTTTTTCTATTAGCTTTGATAATTGTTTTCTGTAAGAGTCATGATTAAATTGGACACCAATCTAGAACATTTTCAGTTAATGGGGTATGTAGGAAGAGTGAAAATTACGTATTTGAGAGGGGCTCTTTAAGATACTTGTAATCTTGTTCTCCCCCTTTTTTGGTATATTGAAGAGCTTTCCCTAAATTGCTTGTTCTTGTAGTTTGTTCTCAGCTCAACTAAGTTGCAAAGAGGAACATATAATCGTTCTAAAAGTGGACTTAACTCATCAAGAAAATGTGCGAAGAACCTTAGAAATGAGAAGAATTGCTTGTTAGCATGTAACAAGATAAGTACAGAATGATAGCAATGTTCCGTTCATGCCACACAGCGCTATTTCACGCCGCGGTCTCCGTCAAGTCGGGACCCATCCTGCATGGGCTCAAATAGACAAAAAATAATTCAGTCGGCAGTCACTGAAAAATGAATAAATGTCGTGAGTCTTGACCGTAGCACAGGTAGCCCAAGCCTCTATTCGTGGCGACTTTCTACTGTGCAGTAAGTGTAAATATTTGAGGATTTCTAATTTCTAATCAGTCTCAAGATATCTTCTTTAAAAAACGACAGGAAATCTACAGTGTTTTGATATTTGTATTGCCTATGTGTGGACTGAATTTCAGCCGCTTTTCAATGAGTTTTACCCGTAAATTTGGATGATCGAAGGCGGGATGATATGATGATGGCTAGTCTGTCACCTTTAAGGGGCCTTAGGCCACGAATCTTCCAGAATGCTGTACAAACCAAATCAAGTCATAACACGGTCATAGAAGTGTAGGGTCTCAAACTATTTCTCTCAGCAGCAGTAAGGGGGACTCGCGGTCACCCCTCGGAATTACACGGATATTCCCCGTGCTCAC